TGTATAATATTCAATCCTATAGATGCATAATTATTTTTAATCAATTTCCTATTGGATTTTTAAGTTATACTTATAGGTTGTTTTTAATATGTCAATTGTATAAATAATACTGAAATACTGATATTTGTATTAAAACCTTTGTGTGCCTTCAATGGCATCTTTAGGATAGTGAATTTACTGAGTCAAATGGTATGAACAGTTTTAAGGTTCTCGATATATCGTAGTACATTATGTCCAAGATCTCATAAATTGTAAACTATACCAATATTTTATGTAATACAAAGAAAGAAAATGATGCCAATTACACAGAATGCTATCTTATCACATATACCTTTTATTTTATAATAATTGAAAGAGTTTTTTGGACTTATTTGAACATACAATCAGCTTATATTTTATTTTTGTATGCCTGTAAAAGAAAAGCAAAATGAATGGCTATGGAATTTGCTCCTAAACTTTCTCATTTTTTGGAGTCACTTTCTGGCTCTGTGCAGTCCTAGACTTGAATGCCATCAGAGCTTTTGGATGCAGGTTTGTTTGTTTCTTTCTTTCTTTCTTACTTTCTTTCTTTCTTTCTTTCTTTCTTTCTTTCTTTCTTTTTTTTTTCTCCTCTATTTCTTTGTTCCAGGATTTTCTTCCAAAAGCTGATATCCATTCTTTAAATATTGTAGGGGCAGGCAATGACAACTAAATCACAACTGCTGCCTGTTTGACAGTGATTGTAAACCTCATCTCAACTTAGAGATATTAGCTTATGAAAACAAAAAACGTACTTCTGAGCATGAATAAAAGCTGCTATACTGCAAATTGCCCACCAGAAAACTTATATCCATGTGTATCCCCAGCAGCACCAAATGAAGTTACCCATTTCCTTTACAGAGAGGAAGGGAGAGAGATAGAGAGTTAGAAACATCGATCAGCTGCCTCCTGCACACCCCCACTGGGGATGTGCCCGCAACCAAGGTACATGCCCTTGACTGGAATCAAACCTGGGACCTTTCTGTCCCCAAGCTGATGCTCTATCCACTGAGCCAAACCAGTTTCAGCAACCCATTTCCTTTAAACCTTAGTCAATTTGGGGAATTTCTATAATCAAAAACACATGATAGGTGACAAGCAGTATCTCATGTTAATTTATACTTGTTTTACTACTTTACACTTATTGACATTTATCTTTATACATTTTTGGTCATTTGTATTTCTTCTTTTACTCATTCTTCATATACTTGATTTATTTTTCTGTTTCCATGTTAATCTTTTAAATATTAAGAGTTCTCTACCTGTCCCTCAATAAGTAATGTAGGACAGGTATTCACCTTTTACCAAATATTTTTCTCTCCTACTTTTTAGTTTTAAACTTAAACTTACAGGATTATTTTTATTATGTATATGTATACAGTCAATAAATTAATATTTACTTCCTTTGCTTAAAAACATTCACCCCAAACTTCAAATCAAATAAATATTAATCTTTATTTTCTTCAAATTGTTTTATGGTTCTTTCTCTTTTTTAAGAAATTAACTCTTTCCTGCATATGAAAGTCACTTTAGTAAGAATCTAATCTTATTCTCCACAAAAGTAAATACATTAGACTGAATAAGCCTCCCTTACCAACTTCTTTAAATATAAACATTTTTATACTTACTAGGATCTGTATATGGGATAGCTATTCTGGTCAGATGCTTTTCTCTCTAGTTTTTGCACCACCATCATATTGTTTTAATTATTAGTTAAATTCACTATATAATTTGTTAACCAAACTAGGATGCTTTTGTTAACCAAACTGGATGACAGGCACAAATCTGGGCCCTGGGGCACCCTAGTCATTATGACTTTATAATAAGTTTTCATATCACAGAGAACAAGAATTCCACCATCACTTATTCTCAACATTGGTCACTCTTTTCTCAAGCACAAAAATGCACACAAATTAAGAAGTGATGGGATGAATATCTAAGAAGTATTTTTGAATAATCCATGCATGTCATATGAGATAGTTTGTTCAATTGAAATGAAATTAAGTTGATTTTGATCTTTGATTTTTTTTAAATCTGTTGACTCTTTTTGTGGCTTCCTGTTGCTTCCCACTTGAAGTTACATGCAACTGAAAGATACTGTACAGGCCATCACCTGGCTTACTGCCATCTCCTTTTCTTTGATTTCTGTGGTTAGCCTTTTGCTCAGTCTTCCCTCAGAATCTTCTAGGTCATCGATTTTTAACCTTTTTCATTTCATGGCGCACATAAACTATTTAGTAAATTTCTGTTGCACACACAAAAATATACATTTTTTTTTTGCCAATCTGACAAAAACAATAGGCATAATTTTGAAATAATTCACACCAGACAGCTATTGTTGTGTTGGCTATTGTCATTTTTTTTCATTTGACAATCTAAGGACAAGGGGCCCCTGACTATTTACTCAGTTATTGCATGTTTTACAAATTTTTGTGGCGCCCAGCCTGCAGGCATGGTTCAGTGGTTGAACATCAACCTATGAACCCAGGCAGTCATGGTTCAATTCCTGGTCAGGGCACATGCATGGGTTGTGGGCTCGATCCCCAGTTTGGGGCAAGCAGGAAGCAGCCAATCGATGATTCTCTATCATCAGATCATAAAAAAAACTCATAGATTTTTGTTTGCATTCTTAACTTTGGGAATACAATCAGAGATCAAAGTCAAATTGTGGGATAGAGGAACATGGGCCTCTTTCCATAAATCCAGAAAGGAAGAACTTTGCCTGAGTCCTCATTGCTTCTCACTGGGCAGGAGGCAGTCTTATTTTTAATTTAATTTGTTTATTTATTTTGCAGCATTTATTCCCTGCCAAGTAAAGTGCTGGCCAACACAGGGTCTCCAAGGCCATCACATCTCTTTCCCATCAAGCACCTTGGAACAACTCCTTTCCCCTTATAGAAACAATGTTATAAATCTCCGTGTCTCCAGGAACACAAAACACAAGGAGCTGATCCCCAAATGAAAAAGTTTTGAATGACTTTCCAGCCAATGATCTTTAAGGCAAAGGATACCCTCAAGCTTTGTGTTTGCCATTTTTTAAATATTGGTTTTAACTTGTTTTACTAAGAAAAACATTCCGGTAGAGACACCACAGACCCTACAAGGATTTAAAGAAGATTCTGGTGGTTTAATCCTTGAGCTTCTTTCTAAAAACTAGGATTTGGGGCAACACCTTTATTTGTACTATCCTTTGTATCTTGTCCTTTTTCTCCTGTCCTTGTGTGTAGGTCTGTCTATGTGTAAGCTGGGTGTTCTTCCCTCCCCTTTTCCTTTGGCCTCTATTCTTTGCCTCCTGCTCAGATTTAAACCACATTTGTTAAAAAAAAAAAAAAAAAATCTAGCTAAAATGTCTGTCTTTTTGCAGCACAGCTCACCATATTGCCTTCTCCTTTCTCCTCCTTTTAGGATCCATACATGAAAGACAATTCCATCTGGCTTTACCAACTCCCGGTTCTACTTTGCAATGCTCAGGTTCAGGAAGTTCCAAGTTACAATTCTGTGTTTCCAAACTGCCTTTGCTAATGGCTTGTTTGGAACTTGGAACAAATTTTTCCAGCAAAAGCAGTCTCTAACTGGTGTTTACAGTTCCCAGTTCAGCCTGCAACAACTTACTCGACATGCTGCACATTTGCTGAGTCAAGCATTTGCTAAGTGCCTTCTGGCGGTGGGGAATTTTCTGTGTTCACCAGGTTGCCCTTCAGCATCATGCTATTTGTTGAGCTGTTCACTCCCCTGACCTCGTTCTCATATGTCATCTGCAAGGCTTTTGCTTGTTCTGGTAAACAGATCTTCCTTTAGTACCAGCTTTGCAAGTTGTGGCCCTCGGTACACAGGTCATCTGTGAGACACCCCAGTAACTTTCCAAACTCTCAGGCGAGGCAACAATAATTTGTACATGTTGATCAGAATTTAGCCACATGGCTGGGAAGGTGTGAGGCACACCAGGCTGCCATGGCCTTTGGGATGAGGTGCACTGCATAAGGAATAAAACATCATTAAGACACGATCTTCAGAGAGAGCAGAATTTCTTTGGTGGTAGGGGACAGGGTATTTCTTGGAATGTGGTTCCTAGTTGGGTACAGAATCGGAATGAAGAATGAATGAAGAACGAATGAATGGCAAAGGGTTACAGGCAGTCCCCTGGGCACATGCACTCAGCGATGCACACAGTTTTGAAGCGTGCATAAGAAGGACCTCACATTGCAGTATTTCCCTTCTGTGAGGTCACCAGGAAGACCCAACTTTTAGCATGTCTGTGATTTTTATTTTACTTTTCCAAGTTCAGAAAGAACAAAGGCTTCATGACATTGTTTTGCTTCTCATCTTTCTTCTTTAGCAAAGGTAGGTCAGTGGAGGCTTTACATTTCATCTTTCAAGATCAAAGTATCCAGGACTATTTACCCCAGGAGGCCAAGAAGCCTCTCTCATAACTTTAAATCTTTTTTATTTCCCGTTTCAATCAAAAGATGCCTCGGAAAGGCCCCCAAAGCAGATATGCGTGACCATCCTTGCACTCTGTGGCTGCCTGCACCCTGGGGTTGGAGTTTTAGAAAAAGTGTTCCTCTAACAGTGAGCCTGCTTCCCACAGAGGTGGGAGCGGATGGGTGTGGCTGCCCTTGCCCGCACCGCAGCCTCTTCAAACACATCGGAGGGACAGAGAGAAAGCACTGAACACGGAACTCCGAGGTACGGCCCCCGCAGCCCTGAAGACTGGCGTAGCGGTCCCCTGGCTCCTTCTCCTCCAGGTTGGCCACCCTCCTGGGGACCAGTCCCAGGCAGGAGAGCATCTGCCTTTGAGCCCGGTCCGCGCCTCGCCGGCGGGGGGCGCTCTCCCGTGGGAACGGCCGGGCTCCTGGGGCAGGGCGGGGCAGGGCGGGGACGCGGCCCTCCGCCCCCTCGGCGCCACCCCTGGCTCCGCCAAACTTTCCCGGGGCTCCGGGCGCGTCGCAGCCGCAGTTGGCACAGAGGCCGCCGCCGCCGTTGCCGTGCCCCCCGCAGCTCCCCTCGCGCCGGCGGAAGCGCAGCGCCCGGCCGCCCCGTCGCGCGCGGCCCGAGGGCATGCGGCAGCCGCGGGGGCCCCGCTCCCGGGCTCGGCGGCGCGGGCGAGCGTGAGCGGTGAGTGGGGCGCGGGCACGGGAGGGCTCCTGGGCGCGCGTGGGGCGGCCGGCTTGCGGGGCGCCTCCGCCGGGCCCAGCTTTTCGGGATAGCCAGCTCGGGACCCAGATCCACTCCCAGCGCGGGGGACCGGACTCTCCTGGCCGTGGGTGGCGCCCCCTGCCCTTTCCCACTGCTCCCCGCCCCCCGAAAAGAGTGAGAAGCCATGGGCATGCCCACGCCGCGGGGCTCCGCTGTGGCGGCGGGCGGCGGGCGGTGGGCAGCGGGCGGTGGGTGCAGGGCTGGGCGCAGGGCCCCGCTTTGCACAGGTGCCGCGTTTCCAAACTCGGTCTGCCGGCCCTCGGTGGGGACAACGGTTCTCCCGAGGAGCCAGGGGATATAACATTTTTCAGGCTCCAGTTACTCCCCCGTGCAGTGGGACCATGCGAGTCATCGAAACATTGGGGAAATAGTTTTTTTTATCAACTAGTAACTCTGTAGGGGGTGGGGGGTAGGGGGTGTGCTTTGTCATTGAAGGTCCCAGTGCCAGACAAATGGGCTTTGTTCTGTAGCAATGCTACTTTATTGCTTTCCCTCAGCAAGCTGCGAACACCCGAAATTGTTTAGAAATCTCTCAAGCGTGTCATTTGAGGAGTGACAGTGAATAATGGAAACAATTTAATCTAATAAGGTAATCATTAAAAACGGTCCCCCAAAGCCTCTGTAGGTCAGCTTTTAAGCGAATAATTTCTACGAAATGCACCCTCCCACCCCAAACACCCCAGTAAGTTGTTGTCATTGCTACACGTTCACCTCCTTACTCCTTTGTCACCCAGAGTAATATTGTACCTGGTCTTGGAATGTTACTTTAGGAGTCAAGGGGCCACCCAGCTTCTTACGGTTCCTACTTGCTTTTGTAAATTGGAGAATCAAGTGAATGCTGGCCAGACAAATGATTCCTTTATAACTCCTTATTACTTCTTGCACGCACCGCATTTCATTAATCATAAACTTTTGCATTGCTAAGGTTTCACAGTGACCTGTCAGTAGTTGCTTAGCCTGCTTCCCATTGAGACATTGGACCCACTTTTGTGTGGTCCCTCCGGTGAGTAGAATTTTCCTCCCCACCCCTCCTCCACCCCCACAGAAGTGATACAGTTAGAAACAGACATACTTGGCTCTGCTAACACCATGCTTGTCTAAACAAACTAGGTTATTCTAAAACACACACACACACACACACACACACACACACACACAAAACCAGCAAGTAAACCCTGCCAGTGAGGCTGATGTATTTGAGATAAGCTTCCAGAGTTGTCTTTTGTACCGGACCCAGTATCATGTCCCAATGTCTGGACATCTAACCACCTAAACATAACTTACACTGATTGTCAGTACCATAGAACTAGAAAAATAGACCCTTTAGGCACATTTTTTTCTTGTTCTATTTTTATTTTTTGTCTTTAGAACTTTATAACTTTGATTTAACTACAAACGACACAACCTCTTTTTTAATCCTGACACATGCATAAATCAACTACCACACGCTGTCAGATCAGGTCTCTTTTAGGTATCTGGCTGTTTTACAAGATGTTTGATAGAACAGATCTATGCCTGTTTCCTATGAATGAAGACTGAAATGAGAAGGCTATAAACTACGTGATCGCTTTCCATGTACGTTCATCAGATCCTGTTCGCAAGCCTGCACCATGTTCATTCTCATTCTCCCAGACACCCATGCTCACAGGAACAAGCGTGCACACAGCATTGTAGCCAGGTGCGACCAAGGCACACACTCCCAAAGCCGTGTCCACGTGCCCAGGGCTGGCGGGGTCTCTCCCAGGTTTTCCTTCTTCCCGCTGAGGAGCAGAAATCCACCACAGCTTAAGCCCAACCTCTTATTTCTTTGGGCTGGAGCAAGGGGAGTCAGTCTAACCTCAGTGGGAATGGCAATGGCTCAGATGACCTATTAGCCATCCTCCTGGGAGCGTACATTAGTTCAGAATGCTTTCTGGCCTGTGATTATATCCATCAATGTGGTTAAGGCTGATTGCAAGCTTCTGCACGGCAGAGCCCAGGCCCAGGGCATTATGCATGTGGTGGAAAGGGAAGAGAAGGGTGTTGCAGGCAGACCAGCTTTGGTTCCAGGCCGGGCTTTGTGACCTGGGATACACAGCTATGCCTCTCTACACCTTCATTTCCTTGTCTGGGACAACGAAGATGACATCCACCTCCTGAGATTCAAAGAGAAAAGCTCTTGGCAGGGTACCTGATGCATAGGAAGGACTCCTTAAATGTCCGTTGCTTTCTTGTCCTTTTAGATGAACATTAAAGAATTAATATTTCTGGAAACATGGGTGCAACCCTACCTTTTCTTCTGGCAAAGATGGATCCCTGAGATGCCCCGCCTACCTTCCTCACTTGTTTCCCCCTTCCTGGCTCTGGTCCTTTTGCTCTTTCCCCCCTCACTCCTCCTGCAGGCACTGGGCCGCTTCCTCTCTGGCCTCGCTGATCCATTGTCCCTCATACTGGAGTGTGTATGTGTGTGTGGGGGTCTCCTGGAACTTAGTCCTGCTGCGGATGGGAGAGGGGTCTGCAGAAGCCCTGAGAGTATGGGCTTTTTCGGTGCTGGTCAGAGGGGAGTGGGAGTATCGGAGCCTGGGTTTGAATCCCAGCTCCACTCTTGTGAGTTCTTGGGATCTTGAATAAACCACTTGTTATCCTTGAATTAGTTTTCTCATTGATATCATGGGGATGATAATTCCTTTTTTTTACCTGCCCGCTTGGGTGGTTGTTGGGGCCCAATAAGTCCTATATGTGAAAGAGTTTTGTACCCTGTGAGGATACAAGGGAATTAAACGTTGGTTGGAATCAAAGAGGCAGGGCCTCCAGAGGTGGGGACACCCCTGGCAGACCGGTGGGATCTCCATGCGGGCAGGGCTGCAGTCCCTCCGCGCCGCCCCTCTCTCCTGGCCTCTGATGTGGAATGAGACATCCAGGGTGAATCGTGCCAGAGGCTGAGAAACTGCTTTGTGGGGAATACCAGAGGAAGATACATTTCAGGACTGAGAATAGCTAATACTGTGCAATCGAAGACCCAGGGCAAAGTTCCGAAAAGGCTTTCCTTCCCCTCTCACAATTCCCTGCACTGTCTGCTCATCTCAGGTTTTTTTTTTTTTTTGTTTGTTTGTTTTTATTGATTTTTTTACAGAGAGGAAGAGAGAGGGATAGAGAGTTAGAAACATCGATGAGAGAGAATCATCGATCAGCTGCCTCTTGCACATCCCGACCAGGGATGTGCCTGCAACCAAGGTATATGTCCTTGAACGGAATCGAACCTGGGACCCTTCAGTCCGCAGGCTGACGCTCTATCCACTGAGCCAAACCGGCTTCGGCTCATCTCGGTTCTTAATGAACAAAAGCCAAGAGCGGCCTAAGCCAAGAGGAGAGCGTGATGGCATTCATCAGACATCCACACGGGACGCCCCGCGCCGCCTCACTGCCCTGTGCTTTCTTCTAACTTGGGTCTCTGAGGTTCCCCCTGCAGGACACTGGCCTGACTCAAGCATTCTCCTCTCTCAAACAATTAATGTCGTTATTCCTCTCCATCTGCAAGATATGTGTGGCTGTCTGCTGGCCTGCCTGGGTAACCAGGGGAGGGGAGCAGTGGCCAGTGAGAGAAAGTTTCTGATTTTCTGAGTTGTGCCCACCCCCTGTTCACCCCCGAGGCTGATGTCCTCCTCCTTCTTCTTCTTCATCTCCTGGCCTGGCCTCTGCAGCACCTGGCCCCTGGCCTCCTGTCCAGCCCTCCTCCTGCCTTGAACTCCTTGCCTGAGATCCTGACACTGTCCCGGCCCCGTGGACCTTCCCTCTTATCAGATGTGAATCACTCCATCATTCCGATACCTCAGGCTGGGCCAGACTGAGTCAGTGTAGTGCTTTGCAGAGTGAGCCTTAGGGCCAGACTGGGCGTCATTCTGGAAAACCCATCCGATATCCAGTACAGCCTACCTCACCCATTCCAAAAGGTATTTGTCAGCGCCGACCCACCTCTCAGGCTCCCCCCAGATACTCATCAGCTAGTCCTATGTTGTCATTGTTCCCTGGGACACTGGGTGGCAGTTCTATTGGCCCTGGCCTTCACTAGGCCACACGCCAATTCGTGGTATCTTCAAGGGATGGCTTGGCCGGTGGCACGGCTGGGTTGGAGGGCCCCTCCATAAGCTATGCCCAAATAAACATGAGATCTCAATAAAAGCAGTGTGCTTGCTTTGTAAAATACAGCTTTAAGGCAGCCTCCTCAAGTCCCCTTTCAGCGAGACTGCCCCAAAGCCTCTCCTCTACAGAGATTCTGGAGCTGCCCCAAAGCTAGCTGAGTCCGAGGTGGCCTGTGGAGCCGGTCAGAGTCTTTCATTCCCCAAGGAGAGCTAGAGGTCTAAACACAAGGTTCAGAATCCTGGGGAGTATCTAGTGAGTGAAGGCCGAAGCAAGGAATCCGGTACAGAACATCATTGTATCATCTGCTTTCTGCCCTGGTTCATTTTCAATATTTCAGTTCTTAGACGGGCCCCACCCCATGACTAAACTGTCACGTGGATCTAGCAAAGAGTATAATCTTTTTCTGTATCATCATGGAATTTAGATTAGTCAGTATTCTCCAAAGAAGCAGAACCATTAGGGTATACACATACTTACACTGAGTGGCCAGATTATTATGATCTCTGAACCCATAATAATCTGGCCACTCAGAGTGAGTGTTTGTGTGTGTGTGTGTGTGTGTGTGTGTGTGTATGTATGTATGTATGTATGTGTATATATATATATATATATGTATATATATGTGTGTATATATATATATATATATATATAGAAAGAGAGAGAGAGAGAGAGAGAGAGAGAGAGAGAGAGAGAGAGAGGCAGGGCTGCAATCCCTCGGTGCCCCTCTCTTCTGGCCTTTGATATATACATATACATACACACACACCTATACACACACACTCACACATTCATATATATGT